GGTAGCCCAGGCTGGCCTCGAACTCACAGAGATCCGCCTGGCTCTGCCTCCCGAGTGCTGGGATTAAAGGCGTGCGCCACCAACGCCCGGCTGCCCAGAGTATTTTAATTGTATGTCATATTATAGTTATCCTTAAATTTTCTAGTGTGTGTGTGTGTGTGTGTGTGTGTGTGTGTGTGTGTGTGTGTGTGTTACTGAGGATTCTGAATGCTAAGTGAGCACTCTTACCACTGGCGACATCCATGGCTCTTTCTGTAGTTACACACCATCTCTTCATAAATAGGTATCTGCTATATCTAGGTAGTTCTTTTTCTATGATCTGAAATGAAAGTGGTGTTCTGTATTGTAACTCAACTACAGTCTTTCCATGAGGGTATTGTTTACACTTAAGTTTTTAGGTGATCTTTCCAATAGTATATGCTACAATTGATTATATTTAAAAATAATGTTTATCTTTAGGATAATACAGCTCCAAGTTGGAAAGTGTTAAAAAAATTGCTGAGAATTTCTCTTTCAAACTGAAAAATTGAACTTTTTCTAACACAGTATGATGTGATATAATTCTAATAAAAAAGAATGAAAAGTATAAAAGATTAAGTACTTTTCAAGAACTAAATGTGAAAGGGACAGTAAAATTAAGTAAAAATTGTGGGAGTAAAAAAAAATAAGTGGTTAAGAGTTAAGACACAACTCTGATTTTCAATGTATCATTTGTAATAGGTGAGCTAAGTATAGTTAGTGGAAGCATCAGTGTTTATATAACAGAAGGATACAATAGGAAATCAACATCTGTTGATGTCTATTTGGCTTAGTCTGTCTCATATTAGTCCACATAAACATCTCATGGGGGGCGACTTTCAGTACAAGGAAAATATTTAAGTAGGTGGGAAAACTGTGACTCCCCTAAACACGCATGCACGCACGCACGAGGCGCGGAAGGGCTTACATACTAGTTAGTGAATGAGACAGTCTTTGCATTATACTTAAAAAAAGCTATAAGAAGGGAGAGAGAATGTTTTCGATGACTGGATAGGCCATGCCTATGCGTATGTGGGGTGCCATGGAACCATATTTGGAAGAGTCAATGGGAAGAGAGAGAAGAACCGCTTGATAAAGGCATCCAGGGTGGCTGGGCCGTGACGCACCGCTGCAAGAGAGAACATGAGATAAGAAAGTCAAAACAAAATTCTTACATGCCATGGATGATGCACAGTCGTGCCAGCTCCAAGTCGTATGTATGTATGTGTAACAGAATTCAGGCTTTGTCTAGGGATGTGTGGCGCAGACCAAATAGGAAGTCCGGAAGTGTAGAGCTGGGGGATCTGAAGAGGCTCTGATGTTAATGGCACCAAGGCTGAGAGGTCTGAGGAAACGGTGAGAAGAACTTGGAAAAGTGGATATTTAATATGTGATATTTAAACTAGAAAAAAACCAAAGCTGTGATGATTGTGACAAAATTATAAAATGGAATTTTTCTCTCCTAATTTTCAGACAGCTCACCATCCAAATCAAAACATGCTGTTTACTACATCATCACATAATATCACCAGCTGTTTGCATTTGTACGGAAGACTCTAAACGTGCCTTTCTCATACTTGAAGAGAATTCCCCTTTGCTGCACATTATTGCCAAAATTCTACATGTGAAAAATCTGTCATATGCATGTTTAGTCCTGGGAAAGAGTGGAGTTGCTTTCTAAACTTCATTGAGAACTGTGGGAATCACTTTTATTTTCTCTTCCAGTTGATTTTAATCTTTCAGCAATGTCCTGATTTCTGAAATGGACTCAGTGTCCCCTAGCTCTACCCAGAGATAGTGTTAAATCATCCCTGCAAATTTATGCCCTCTTTAATACAAAGGGATTAACTACTTTTCATACATTGAAGAGAATTTTTGCCGGCAGCACTTGGGGTGTGGTACAGGTTTAAACTTCTTTATACTGTAAAGAGTTTCTCTCCCAGGGTACTGATTTTTCAGTGAATTACTACTAGTTAAGTATGAGGTAAAAAAAAAGGTGGGGGAGGGGGTTGTGGGTAGAACTGTCTGCTTTCCTATTATTTAAAAACCTCCAGTTGTTAGTTTTACTATATAACTGATGTCCGGTCACTTACATTATGTGCCTAGCAGGATTTTGTCACTTTCTCTTCTTTTCTGGACATTGTGTTGGGTAAATAAAATACAATGTGTATATCGTGTGTAGCTCAAAATAATACGTTTTATCCTTTTGGTAATTCATTTTTCTTCAGGTTAAAGACCAAGTAAGAAGTAAGTAGGGGAATGGGCCATTATCCTTGACCCAAAGCTTTTGCTTTTAAATAGTACTGAAGTTTCCTGTGGGATTAGATTTCATAAACAGTTTCAGCCCCGAAGAAGTCTTAAGATTCAGAAATTTTTCTCAATATCAGAATTGTGCACTCTTGACAAAAAGAACTTGGCTATTTTTTACTTGTTCTGATTTTCTACATCCCTGAATACTCACAGTAAAGTAGAAAGGTCTAAACAACAAAAATTATACCCGTCCTTCTCTGGTAGGACTTTTTTCCTTGCCTCCCTTCCTTCTGTTCACACTTCAAGTTTTCAGTTCTGTACCGAGGAAGTGATAGACACTCCATTAGAAACAAAGGCTTGCACACACACACACACACACACACACACACACACACACACACACACACACAGATCCATTCATCCCTTTGCAGTTCTTCGTGTTTGCTTTTCCACACCCATCCCTGTTCGCAGGATAAGCCTCCCTTCCAAGCCTGTATTTTCCTTTTCATACCCCCGCCCCAAAGCTGGGGAGTCGCCATATTTTAACATCTCCAATCCCTACTGAAAATTATTTTTTTTCAAAATGCTGCTAGCATTTTTCCTAACAGTTGATCTACTTCCTTCTAACCATATGCCCTATTCAGACTCTAGACATTAACCTTGACCGGCCCTTAATTTCCCTCTCCTTCTGGAATGAATTCTTGCAGATTAAGTTTCAAACGTCATCATTTGACTAACCCGCCTAAGGCTGTTGCCACAGGGAGGAGGCATTTTGTTTTCCCGCGCATAGAAGTGTTCACTATAGAATATATTGATGATATGCTTCGGCACTCAGCTCTCTGCGAAAGCTCTTAGCACAAGAACTGCCAAGATGACATAATTTCTCAGATCGTCCTTCCATCCTTAGTTAAATTCACTCCTTGCCTATCCCAGCCCCACCTGCAGGGAAATTTTACAGGGATTCCAGGAGAGGAGAGATCTTCCTTTAAATAATGCACATTTGTTGATATTCTGCAATTGTTCAAACTTGGGTTTGCAGCGTTCTTTCTGCAAGAAAGTGGAGCGGGGCTTTTTCCCTCGGACCAAGATCAGATCAGGTCGCGGTTTTGCAGCTGCCAGTTTTTGGAACAGAGACCCCCCCCCCCCCATTGCAGCAGTGAACCCTTCAGCCTCTAGGACCCATTTCCTCTCTGGGGGCCTGAGTCCCACAGCTCCCTGCTCCCGCTGTTTTCTCATTTAGAGCTATGTCTCTGGAAGAGTGTGCCACACAAATTTCAGATACTTTCACACTTATCTCATTTGTTCTTCTTAGAAACCGTAACACTGGGACACACTGTCTCTCTCAATCCCGTTTGACTGCTAAGAGGACTCTGGGCCCGCTGATACATCCTGTCCTGACTAGGAAAGGACTGCTCCAGTCCTCTTCTGGATCGACCACCTTTCCCTTTCGCCTCCTGCAGCAAACGTGGCAAGGGCAAAGCCCAACCAGCCGGTGCCCCGCCTTTGTTTTCATTAATAGCGCACCTGGGCCTTAAGTGCTCGGCAAATGCCACGGTGACACACTGATGCAGAAACTGGCTTTTCCTGGCTCGAATTTGCTCCTTCGCTCTCATTTCCTGTTTCTCGGCCTCCCCACGGTTTCTTTTCCCAACCCATTCCACTCCACAGAGCTGTAATTTTTTTTTTTTTTCTTTCTCTAACACAAACTTCCCCTTCCAGCCTCCCACCTCCAGGGCGGTTTCCCACGCACGGCCGGCTCAGAGGCACTGGGTAGGGGTGTCATGCCCCAGGAGCTCACCTAGGTTTCAAGAAAGTGGTACCCACAGTCCCCCTGACCGTCAGCGACCGCCCGGGGCCAGCCTTACTCCTGCACCCCGCCGGGCCCTTTCCGCTTCCTCCGCTCCCCGCCCCCGCTGACCCTCCCGGGCGGCTTGACCCCGAGTCCTCGCAGCCGCGGCGGGAACAGCGGAGCCGCCTCCTCCCTCTCCCCGCCCAGAATCTCGCGGATCCTCTGCCCGGTGCGCGCAGGCGGGGCCGCCCGGGATGGCGTCCAAGCGCCCGGCTCCCCTCTGAGGACCGAGCACCGATCTGTCCCTGCTCGTGTCCCCGGCGCCCTGGCTGGGGTCCCAGCTCAGCTCGAGCCTCCTTTCCACCCTGCGACATCGACTTCACTGCTTTCCTAAATAACCCGCGCGGTCAGGCGCCCCGGTGTGCCAGCGCTGCCGAGAGAGGCACACACCCGCACCTCGCCCCCATTCATCCCGCCAAGGTGAATCGCGGCCAGCGGGGCGCCCCTGCCTTTCCCGCAACGTGCCACACACTCGAACCCAAACAATGATTCCCCCTCGGCGTTAGTCGAGTCTCCTGGCCCGCGCCACCCGCGGGGCAGCCCCCGCCGGGACCCCATTGTTGCCCAAGCCGCCGGGCGCCCGGGGGCGGACCCCGCAGACTCGGCCGGCTCCGCCCACACCTTTCCCAAGTTAGCCGCGGGTGAGCCGCGGGGACAGCTTGGGCGCGGGGCCCCCTCCTCGCTCGCCCCCCACCCACCCTGGCTGCGGTGGGGAGTGGGCGAGGGCCACGCAGGCTGGCCGCTCTAATCGTCTCCTAATTCTCTGCCCAAGACTGCCTAGGCGCGTGGTGACACAAAAGAGGGGGACTTGGTGGCAGCTCTGCAAGAGTCTTGCCCCGGAGAGTTGCCATCAAGGGGTTCCTCTCTCCGCGACCCCTAGAATTCCCCCCAGGCTGCGGCTACAGGAGTGGCAGGGGCCATGCGTGGGTTATTTAGGGTGCCGCAGAGAGGTGGTGCAGGTGACAGGGTGGCGCGGCAGAGGCCCAGGGCCAGGGGGCGGGGTGGTGGCTCCGCGGACCCACCCCCTGCCGCTGGCCAGGCTGGCAAGGCGAGGGCTGGGCAGTGGGTGTTGCGTTCTACCTCTGCGATCGGGGAGGGGTTAGTTTCCCACAGGGGATTTCAACCATCACACTCAGAGCCCGCCTCCTAATCCTCCGGCGGAGCGGCTCGGGGCCCCATTTTATGGCAATAAAGCGACTTAGCGCCTGCTGAGCGAGCCCCTCCCCGCCGCCGCCCCCGCCCTCGGCCCCACCCCGGGGCTCGCCCGCAGCGGCGGGGCTTTGTTTCTGGGGAGGAGGACCTGGAGCTCTTTTGTTGGGGTTTTCTGTTTTCACCCCCCACCCCACCCTACACACACCCCAACCTCACCCCACCCCGCCCCAACCCCCGCGCCTCTCCGATTTCCTGAGCTGCGGGCTGCAAAGGGAGGAGAAGCGGCTTCTTGCAACCCCCTCGGCTGGGCCCCGGGGTAATTCGATGCGGGCCTGGCGAGGCTCCCCACGTTAGACCTGGGCTAGCGTCTCGGCAGCCTCCACCCACCGGCCCACCCTACATTTAGCGCATCATGTGATCTGGGTAAGTCATTTGCAAGTACAACAGTTCCCTGGGTTGCCCCCCATTCATTTCCTGAGAACTGCAGAGAGCAGCTGAGAGGCTCTGCTTGTGCGTGTGCGTGTGAGTGTGCGCGGGTGACGCCGTGTGTGTATGTGTGTGTGTGTGCGAGTGTGTGTGCGCGCGCGCGCGTGTGAGAGAGAAAGGGCGAGAGAGAGGGGGACTCTGTGTGAGGGAAAGAAAACAATTTCTCCTGCTCTGCAGCTTCTGTTCAGGTCTGTGCCGATTCCGTTTTTTATCAAAATAAACAACCCCCTCCTTTTTTTTTTTTTTTTTTTTGCCATCCCAAATCAGATCGTATTCTCTTAACGTGTTTTATTTTCCTTCTGTCATCTGCTCAAGTTAAATCATTTTGGTTGGTCTGTGTTCTTAAATGGGGGGAAAGTGTTGGGAAGCGGGAGGGGGCCGGGGAAGGGCGATGCTATTGCCGAGCCAGGAGCGGCGGTCGGATTCGCGGAGAAGAAAGAGGGAGGTTACTTGTCCCACTCCCTAAACATTTAAAAAAGAACTTAGCAAGTAACGTGAATTAAGCAAATGCTTTGCTTCCCCGACTGGAATTGTTGGTTGCAGTGTTTGCCTGACAGTTGCCAAGGATGAGAAATAAATCCCCAGGGCTGAATTGGTGGTGGTGGGGGGGGGGGGGGGGGTTGGGGGGGGGGTGTCGTGGAAGTAGTTGGTCCTCAGTAATGGATGGGCTGGATGAATAGCCGCACCAGGGCTGTGCGGGCAGTGTGTGAGCACTGGGGAGTGGAGGGGAAGGGGTTAAGGAGGAGATTACATTGCTGGCATGAATCGTGGTCCTGGCGCTACATTCATTATTGTCTCTGGTCGTAATGATGTGGAACTGTCACTTGCTACCGTGCCTGGTCCATGGGAGTAGCCAGGGGATGGCCTGTGGCTGTTATTTTCAATTCCGAAGGACCTGGCTGGAGTTGACAAGGGACAACTTTGTAAGGCCACCTGGGCCGAGAAGCCAGGGGAGCTGGCCTAGGAGCCACTTCTGGCCTTAAGACGCTCAGCTCAGAAGGCTAGGACTTGACCTCCGCATTAGTTGGTGTTCCTGTTAGATGCTCTCCTACCGGGAGAATCAATCCTGCTTTTGTCGGGTGGAGAACTGCCTCTCAGAACTTTGCAAACTTTTATCTTTGGGGGAAAGGGTGGGGTGCAGTCAACAGTTTTGTTTCTCCGTGCGTTTGAGGAAAATGCTTGGAAAAAGTACCAATTCCTTTGTTAGATGTCCTGTAGCCTCCCTGCCCCCTTCCCCTGCTCGTCTACTTTTACATACTTTACTAGTAATTGCCCTAATTCGGCTGATAAAAGCTGACTTTGTTGAGTTAAAGAGTATTAGTACAACGGAATGTGTAATCTGGATAAACAGTTTCTGTGTTTAGTATTGTCAGCTCTCTAATTTAACTGTACAGATGGCTTAAGTCTCTGTTCTGTATGGATTGTTTTAAATAATTCTGCTGGCTAATAGAATTCTCCACCGAGCACTAGGATATTTTAACTTGGCGTTAATATTCTGTTTCCCTGTAACACCGGAGAGACCGGCAGAGGATCTATTTACATTTAGTGCGTGTGCATCTAGTTGCTTCTTAGACATCTGCCAATCAAGTACACGTCATTCTGCAAATCCACCTCGAAGCCTTCATGCCCCTTTCTTAGTGGAGGAGAGAGTTGTTTGGATAAGTAAATGCTGTGAAAGACATTTGGTGGCTTTCAGCACGCAGCAGCTTCTGATGTGAATAGGAATGGTCACTTTGATGAGAAAATAAACTGTCAAACAAGACATGCTTTTAAGACTGGCATTTAATTACCACAGGGGGACCCTTCCTCCCTTAGAAAAAAGCTTGGTCTTCCTGTAGGTCCTCGTTGGATATTGGTTTCATTTGAAAAAGAGAGAGAAAAGAGAAACAGGTAGAGATTGGTTACGTAAAGAGTATATTTTTAGGCTTGAAAAATTTTAACTGTAGACTCTTGTTAGAAATAGGATGTTTGAAGACAGACATTTCAATTGCCCAAGTCACGTCTCTATCGATGCTGCCTGGTCAATCTTGATACTCGACTGAACAGAGTATGCCCATTTGAGTCTGGGAGAGAGCAATTTGAGCATTTAAAAATTGGCAAGAACATATCATGCATTTAGAAAAAAAGGTTTGTTATGCTAACTCATAGTTAATGTGAAATATACTTAAACCAGCACAATTAAAATATTTTCACATGAAAACTCAATAATTTATGAGCTGCATCTATTTAGCTAATACAGCTGTGTCGGGGTCCACAACACATTCTCAAGGATTTCTCTTGATTGCTGAAGGCTTCCAGTTATTTGTCTACTACTTATACTTATTTCAAAGAAACTTTGGTCAGTTCAACTTTATTGGGGGAATGCTTTTTATGACTGTTTTTGAAGGAAAATTGTCTCCTACTAGAAAGGCCTTTTCAAGAAACCATGTTATCTGGGAGGAAATGGTCCTGGTCTAGCTGTTGAGACCTTGACCTTAGCAACTCTTGACTGGTTGTTTACTCCAGCTGCTGCTTCTGTGTGTTCCAAAAGTGAGGCAGTGGGAGCACCCTTTCTCCTAGGGTGCTTGAGGCTCAGTCCTCAGAGCATGCACACAACCCAGAGTCTATAGTGTTCTGGTCATACAGAAATTTTCTTTTGACTTCTTGTGAAGGGGAAACACATTTTCAAAGCCTCTGAGTGTCAAATGGTATGCCATGAAGCAGTCTGTTATTAACACAATGAAATTTTTTTTTTAAAATCTGTGTGTTTTATCTTAGCAAAAGTGATTTAAGTCCTGAGTTCTCCAGGTCTGTACTGAGGGCATTTCAACCGGGAAGTGTTGGTTAATTTGGAGTTGTGAGAAGCCTTATCCAGGGATGTGATACTTTAAAATAGCTGACAACATACAATTGTCCTGGGCATTTTTTCCAATAAATACAAAATAAAAAGTACCAAATTTCATATTTGTGTAAGTTAAATAACATTAAAAGAGTTCTATAAAATTGGGGTGTCAGATGATTTGTTTGCTTATATTTAGGAGAGGCATTCTTAAGTGTTTTGGGTTCATAAATGTAGTTGAAGTGTGTGTATTAATATGAAGTAATTGCACAAAATTAGTAATGGCACAAACATCATAATTATTACTGTTATTAGTAGTATGGATGTTTTACCTGTTGTACTTGCTGGTGGATTAATGAACAAGAGCTAGGAATCTCCAAATCAATACCACTGATGTCTTTTTGTTTAGGACACAACTTTCATTTTTGTAAGTTCTGAAATGGATGACAGCTTCTGTCTGGACCATTTACATTTTAAAAACCAGTACCCTGGCAGACTGGAAGTACCTGTATTTTTAACTTCATTTTCCTCTTTTTAATGTAACCCTGGCAGGCCTTTCACTCACTCTGTAAGTGCCCTTGAACTCCTGCTCCTCCTGGCTCCACCTTCTGGGTGCAGAACAGGCATGTACCCCCACACCCAGCTTATTTTCCAAAAAAAAAAAAAAAAAAGAAAGAAAGAAAGAAAGAAAGAAAGAAAGAAAGAAAAAGAAAAAGAAAAAAAAAGGAAAGGAAAAGAAAAAGGAAGAAAAAACAAAAACCCTGAAAACTTTTTCATTTTTCAGCTTGTGAGTTTCACACAGCCTTTAGTTTTAAATGTGCATAAAAATGTAAGGGTAAAAACATTGAAATTAAGTCCCTGACAACACCCTCTAACCACACAGCCTTAACTCATCTACCACACCCTCTCCACTCCCAGATGCAGAATGGGAGCTGACAGATGGGCCTTGCCCTGTGCCTGGAAGGTCAGCTGCCTGTGGCTCTGTCAGACCTTCTTGGGTTCTAACTCCCAGTGACTTCAGTCCACCAGAATTCCTTCTTGAGGGCCCACACAAACCACACCCAATCTGGCTTCAGCTACTGAGTTCTTGTGGTAGACACATGCTCTGGGTTAAATGGTTGCTTTCTCTATATATTCTCAGTAATTAGGTTACAAAAGGATTTCTTGGTTGGATGTTTATTGTCACAAAGTGGTACTTGAGTAATTATACCGCCCTATAAAATTTGCTTTGCTCTACCAGCAGATTATAGGCTATTCAGTGAAAGAGGGGCTCTGATACTCTTTCTTCTTTTTACTCACCTTAAAGCCTCTTTTGAAACATTCATTACAGATTTTCGGACATGCAGTTTATTTATTTTGTTATTTTAGAAGAGTTTATATTTTCACAATTTCATGCATGTATGCAATGTATCTCCATTATTTCCATCCATAGCAGCTCTTTCTTCCTTCTGCCTATGGACACCCCCAACACACTCCTTTCTAAGTTCACGTCCTCTCCTGACCGATCTTGTTGGCTTGACCTTGTACAAGTCTTGTGCGAGTAAGCGGAGCTGCAATGAGCTGCAATGAGTTTGCGAGTCATGTGCAGATGACTGCATTTAACAGCATTCTTACCTTCTTTCCACCCTCTCTTCCTTAATGTTCCATGCCATGGGTGGCATGGGTGGACAGGTTGTGATATAGATATTCCAGTTAGTGCTAAACACTCGCTGGTAGTACATATCTGTGCGTATACATTTGTGTACTTATTGAGCTGGTCCAAACAGCAGTGCTGTCTAGATGTCTAGATCCTGAGAGAGTAGCAAAGAGCCTTTATGGTGGTCCTGCTACCTATGGAAAATGAGAGGACAAGCATTTGGAGTGTTCAGAGACACTTTTCTTGTCCATTGAATGCATGATTATTGCCTACTGGCTTTGTCAGAAATTATGGCCAAGATACAACAGTTACTATGGCTTTCAGAGTATGTAGCTTCTCACAATTTTTTTGTGATGATACATATGTATATATTACATATGTCAGTTTGCTATGCATATATTTAGTATTTGTATTTAGGCATGTGTTTTCATATTCTTTGTCTGCACTGGTATCTTATCCCCTCACACCATGGCCATTATGACC